CTGTTCGGCGGATAAAAAATGGCCGCCGGAACAGCCGAAAAGGGCCGGGGCGCAGCGTTTTCGCGCCCTTGGTTCCCCTGCCTTTGGCATCAGGTGTACAGTCTGGGTGCTTCCTCTGACATTATGGAATCAGAACAGGATTATTGCCTCCCATGGAACTTTCTAAGGTGGTAATTATTTTTAAAGTGACAGTCCAACCTACTCCTTCACCTGGAGTAGACATGGAGTTTCACATCTATTTTTTCTTAAGAGTTGATACCATCCATGCTGGGACAGGGGACAGATTGTCCCTGGATCTCGGTCCCTCTCAGCCTAAACATTAGACTAAGTCAAATGAAGCCTCCAAGCCAGCTTCACAAAGAGGACTGCGTATCTGGTCACATTGGAGGGAATTTATTTCAACTCATGCCTCAACTGATGTACATCTTCTGGACATGCCTGTTGCAGTTCTGGAAGCTCACATGAAATGCAGAGATGTTCCTTCACTGGTGGAAGCAACTGGATTTTTCCCCCTGCACAGTTCATTTGTATTCCGCCTGTATACAAGTGGAATTTGAAAAGATGAATAATCATGTTTTGCATGACCTGAACCTCAGAGAGGCACGGAATGGAACATTTCACAGAGCCGAATTATTCTGCCTCTTCATTAGAGGTGAACAAACTGGTAGTCTCTGATTTATTTTATGTATGCATAAATATGTATTAGGATAGAAACACTCCCCTCCTCCAACCAGACACACAGAGATATGGGACAGTTCCAGAAGCAGGTATAAAGCAAGGAACTGTGCTGCTATTCCTACATCAGAAAGACAGAAGAAAGTAAATGCAGCTGGTGAAACAGGCAAGTCCCAGTGAAGGAAACATCTGCTTTAGACAAGAGCACTCACCCAGATTGCAGGTACTTCTTTCTGGTCTTGCCCCGTCCACATTCCTCTTTCCCCTTTTGGCGAAGTCATGAAGAGGAGACTGGAAACACCCATTTTCCTTTCTAAAGTAACTTGAGCCTGTCATTTCCCCCCAAACTAGTGGAACTGTGCTGGTTTAAAACTGTGGATAATAAGCCGCTGTTTAAGCCTGACTTCAATCAGCAAACAAAGATCTAAATTAACCAGAATGATCATCCCACCTTACTTGGCCATAGTAAGTGGTTTGGGAAGCTCCCTCTCGTATTTTTTTTTTTGGGGGGGGGACTCTCACCACAAAGAGTGAGGTCCACAGCTTGGGGATCCATCTTGACCCAGTGCTTACCATGAAATCCAAGTTAGCGTTTATGGTCCACACTGCCCATCTACATCTTTGGCGGATTGCCCAGCTGTGCTCCTATCTTGATGTTGGGGCACTCATCACTCTGGTTCATGCGCTCATCGTCTCGAGATTAGACTACTGTAATGCACTCTACATGGGGCTGCCCTTGAGATTGATGTGGAAACTACAAATAGTCCAGAATACGGCTTCCAGATTAACCGGGATGAAAAAAATATCACATTTCCCCCACTCTGGCAGCCTTACCTGGTTGCCCATTCGTTTCCTCATTGACTTCAAGGTATTAATGGTTACATATAAAGCCCTAAACAGTTTAGGACCTTGATACCTGGAAGAGCGCCTGCTCCCACCTAGCTCTACTCGTCACTCGATCTAGCCAGGGTGGGCAACAGAGGGGCTTGACCCCGAGAGGGGCCCGGAAGGAGAGAACTAGAAACCGGGCCTTCTTGGCAGTGGCCCCTTGTCTCTGGGACATCTTGCCCCCTGAGATTCGCCTGGC